AAATTCCTCCTGAAAAATAGCAACACACTTCCTGGTATGTGAGTGTGCCAAGGCACTCTTTTGTCTCCTGTCTCACAGTTGTATATCTATAGTATGAGATCTAAGGCACTTTTTTTCTGCTAGCTGCCAATCTTAAAAGATTTGGAGCAAGAATTAGTGATGTCACTTCTGTACAGCTCACGCTGCATTGCTGGAGATATGAGGAAGCAAAGCCCTGCGTCTACCAAGATGGCTGCCTCCACACAGACACAGCACAGAACAATTTTTACTTTACACATTGATGAACACAGTGGGGGAGATTTACTAAAACTGAAGCTCTCAGAATCTGGTGCAGCTGAGCATGGTAGGCAATCAGCTTCTATAACTTCAGCTTGTTCAACTAAGCTTTGGCATTAAAACCTGGAAGCTGATTGGTTTCTATTCAGAGCTGCACCAGATTTTGCAATCTGCAATTATTCTGTGTACATAAAACATGCTGCATTAACCAGCTAGCCTGAGAACCTAAGAAGCTTCTCCTATTAATCAATGACTAGGTACTCATGGTCGATATAGGATATGTACTCCTAGGTGTCAGAGAATTGTAACTTCATTGGGACCAGAAGCTGATGCTAAATACTATCTCCAGGAATTTTTTTTCTACAGTAGGGTTGGCATTCTAAGAGTTGGCATTATCTGTTTCCTGACAGCTACAATTGCAACTGCCAACACCAGAGGTTGCAGGAAAGAAAATTAATCGATTCCACCATCAACACGGTCAGTGTTGATGGGGAATCCCTCCTACAGCGCTATTGTGTTCTGCCAGCGGGGAGCCTTCCCTGCCACCAGAACGCAATGATAGCCACCGACAGTAATCGCATACAAAAATTCAGACAAACTGGTTGTACTGAAGTTGATCAATGGGTCATCTTCAGTGCAGTTAGCCTACCCATAGATGGACCAAATCTCAGCATGTTCCTGCTGAACCAGACGAGATTTAATCCATTTATGGTTGGGCTTTAGACCCACATTTTTTAAACCATGATAGTTACATGGCCACAAAATCACAGATGTGTTGTACAAGCAATCACATTCATATTATCCATAGATGGAAGACTCCTTAAAGAGTAAATTGTAAAAAGAAAAAAACTTTTCAAAGAAAAAAGACACTTTATGATAGCTGGACAATTTTGTTACAAGTACTAAACATATAAGTTTTTTCCTCTCATGAACCAGACAGCATATGCTGTGACCATTAGTCACAGCCAGATCAGAACGTAAAAGGCTGGCATTGTCACAATCGAATGACACAATATGAAATGGAAAAACTGAGGATGAAAATAAGTTTACTACATATTCTAAAATCTGGCATCAGATTTGTAGATCTATCTATCTATCTATCTATCTATCTATCTATCTATCTATCTATCTATCTATTTCTATAACCATATCTATTTTATCTATATATTTTTATTCTATCTATTATGCACCTCTACCCATACCTGGTTTTTTTTAATCTATTCATCGATCTAGATCATCTATCTATCTATCTATCTATCTATCTATCTATCTATCTATCATTAGCATCAGCAGTCTGTAATAAAGATGACATAATTATACAATATGCATGCAGTATAAAACACATACTTACATCCAGATATTCATCCAAGGCTAATTTGGTGAATTCAAACTGAAGATGGACTCTGAAATTCATGTCTTCTACAGAATGGACTACGATATTAATGAACTGCATACACGCCACCTGCAACAGCATGGCAAGAGTTAACTAATTACAGATTGTGCAGAATGTGCAGGAAAGTTTGGTGAAGTATCCAGCACTCCCCTGATAGCCCTTCCTCCCCCAATTCCTGTCATCACGGTTCCCTATTACCGGCTCCCATCCTCATTACTATTTTTAACATTCCTTAATAACATATGTGCCCTCTGTTATAAAAAAACACAGTGCCACAGAAGAGTTATTTTTAAAGCAATAGGCAAATTGTAGACATGTTTCTAGGTAATTATAATAAGGAGATTAATGAATGTGATTTGTTCTTTTGACAGGGATACACTTCTCCGGAGTAGTGCCATTGCCTTCCTAAAACAGAAAAGATTTTTATCTCAAATCCCAAATATAGGAAGTTATTCCTTATTTAAAGGGCCACTATCACAAAAAAGGTTGTAACCTGATAATTGAATGTGATAATATAGATACTTATAGTATACTGTATTGCGTATATTTCTATTTTTTTCTCCACGTTTAAATGCAGACCTCTATCCACAAAAAGTGATAGAGACAGGGGTTGAGACTAACAATACAACTGGCACAGGTAAAGAACATCCAGTGTTCTGCTTTAATAATTATCACTACATAAGTGTTTTACTCCTTTTCAAAGCCTATAGGAGGAGTTTTCATTCTCCTCTCACTGTCCTATGAGGCTGTATAACCCCTGACCCTCTGTCTGGGCAGTGCTGATTGGCCCTATGCTGATCACATGTACCCTGCCAAGAAGAAAAAAAACTCTCTCTCTCGCCAAACTGAACATGTGCAGCCTGTCACCAAGGCTCTTTTCTATCAGGGGGCAGTGGAAGAAGAGGAGGATCAGAGAAGACATCCTTTTTACACAATGCAGAGGATTAACACCTTAAGTTCCACAGTGAGTATAACAAGCATGCTTTACTGCATATACAGATTGCTTTTACTGTTTTGGGTTTAGTAACACTTTAAAACACAATTTCTTGCCCACTAGCCATCAAAAAGTGGAGTAACTCATAGTTCATAGTGTTTGCATTTTTATTAGTCATGCAATCAGAGATTTAACCATACTGACTTGGTAGAATGTCATTTTGTAGATAACCCTCAGATAGTATTGTATATGTTATTTCCTCCAGTTGTATCATTTTGCTGACTGGGAACAATAGATGTTTCACAGTGCCCCAGGACACACATTTGTTATATGTTAGTAGTGAAACAAGCCAAAGCATAGCTTATATTTTATGATCCTTTAAAGGTCAGTCCGCCTGAAAATGAAGCTAAAGCAATAGCTGGAATTTGGTAAACTGAAAATCAACCAGATTTTATTGTGTTTTTATACAAATATAGGCACAAGGTAAATAAGAAGACATGGAAAGTGATCACATTCCTTGTGCAACTGAGTTTCATTTTTTTTGGCAGCTGCATTAGTATCCTATGGTATCAAAGCTGGCACTTGTAGTTGGTATAGGTTGGCCTTAGTGTATACAGTAGTATGGGGTGGTAAAAAACAAACAAAACCTAATGTGTAAGGGAAAGGACTAGGTCTGAGCTTGTCTAGTAGTTCTGTATCCTTAAATAGGGGAAGTAAGGAAAGGGAGAGGCAGGGAAGGTGAAAAGATGTAGGGAAGGTATGGAGGAAGAGGCAAAAAAGAGGAAGAATAAGAAAGATAGTGTGGGGTAAGGAAGATAAGTAGGGGGATGTGGAAAACAGGGTGAGGAGTGTTGCAGGGTAACGATTAAAGGCTGGTGGGGGGGTTGCTGGGTACAACTATCACCTGGTTCAGAGCCAGACTGAGGAAACCCCTTAAGTAGAGAATAAGTTTTATTTATTTATTACAGGTACTTATATAGAGCCATCAATTTACACAGCGCTTTACATACAGTGAGGAACAGAAGTATTTGAACACCCTGCGATTTTGCAAGTTCTTCCACTTAGAAATCATGGAGGGGTCTGAAATTCACATTGTAGGTGCATTCCCACTCTGAGAGACAGAATATTTTAAAAAAATTTTAGGAAATCACATTGTATGATTTTTAAAGAATTTTTGCCAGCAGGATATATAACAAAGTATTGAGATGAACTTTTAAAATTGACCAAATACTTATTTTCCACCATAATTTGCAAATAAATTCTTTCCAAATCAGCCAATGTGATTGTCTGGATCTTTTTTCTCATTTTGTCTCTCATAGTTGAGGTCTACCTATGATGCCAATTACAGGCCTCTCTCATCTTTTTAAGTGGGAGAACTTCCACAATTGGTGGCTGACTAAATACTTTTTTTGCCCCACTGTATATTGTACATTCACATCAGTCCCTAACCTCAAGGAGTTTACAATCAAGGTCAAAGTCAATCTGGTCCCTAGCTCACATTCATACAAACCAGGGCCAACTTAACTTGGTGAAACATTGGACGGTATAGGCCCATTCAATAGAAACCGGCCAAAATTCAGCCCATGTGTACACCATCCTGTCCAACAGAAGCCAGTTGAACAGCTAGCTTCTGTCGAACGAGCATGCTAGAAAACCAGCATCTGATCAGTGTTTGCCAATGGCTGCCAGTATTGACTGGTGTGTTCTGGTGGGGGGCTGTCCCCCTGTCAGAACACAGTGGGGAGATCGCTGTGCTAACATCAGATAGTTAGTACACTGAGCTCCTCCTGAACTCTTCTGGGTTTTTTTTTTTTTCGTTCAGCCTGTTGGGTTGTACCAGGCAATAGACAGGAGCCAATTGACTTACCAGCATGTCTTAGGAGTGTGGGAGGAACTGGAGTACCTGGAGGAAACCCAAGCAAGCACAGGGAGAACATGCAAACTCCATGCAGGTAGTGCCATAGTTGGGATTTGAAACAACAAACCTAGTGCTGCCAGGCAGAAGTGCTAGCCACTATGCTGCCCCAATAAGCTGTGGAATTCTGTGGACTCTTGCAACACAGTCCAAATGCGGAGAACAGTGTCTGCTTCATGGGCTAGGAAGAGCGCTATACTCTTAAAGCGGTCAGGCTCGGTAACCCACTGTAGAAGGGTAGGTACCTGTAGAGAGTTTCCTTCTTATATCTTTTTAGACAATCTGGTGTTGATGTCTCCCTGTAGGTGCTCCTTCCCTGGCCTGCCTTGATCTACCACAGAGTCTCATTCCTACTACAGCAAGGGGAAGCCTTCTTTTCTGATGAATTTAATACAATCTAAAAAAATTAAATATCCAACAGGAAAAGGGAGACCCCTTGTAATGAGCTAGGTGGGTGGAGTTGGGAACTCAAATTCAGAGATCATTTTGCAAAGATCCCTTAGAGCAAGGGTGTCAAACTGGCAGCCCTCCACTTGTTGCAAAACTACAAGTCCCATCATGCCTCTGCCTTTGGAAGTCATGCTTGTAACTGTTAATCTTGCAATGCCACATGGGACTTGTAGTTTGGCAACAGCTGGAGGACTGCCAGTTTGACACCCGTACCTTAGAGAGATGGAAAGGCAGCAGATTATTCCGATAAGTAGGCAGCTTTACCCTTTAATATGACATCATTATTTCCATATCAGAATAAAGTCTTGTTGCCTGAAAACTTTTAAAACGCCTGTACTTCATAACTTGAAAGTAAGCAGAAAGCTTTTTTCCTCATGGCAAAAACTCTATTTCGAACATTTGAATTATTAATTACTATTAATATCAATGCATAATTCATTCTATTAGCTGCATTACCACATATGAATGTATAGTATGCCATGACGCATATGTTGGCGCCACAAGCCTAATAAATTATACACTAGATTTTACATCAAACCTTCATCTTATTTACTTGTAATACATCTCTTTTTCAAAAGTTTAATTCAACACTTGCAAAGTGCGTTTTAAAAGATAATATACAAATTATTTTCTCAAACTTAGTTCAGTTAATTATTTTTTGGGTTCACAAACTGTGACAGCTTTATTAAAGTAAACCTGACCTGGCCTAAACAGCAAATAAAAGTGCTGAAGTGCACTGAAAATACTTGTTGCTACTGTTCATTTAAGTTTCTGTGCCTGAATCCATGTGGACCCTGTTGGATCCTAATGCAGGCCATAGACGGTTCGTTTATCGGCCGTATTTTCGGCCGAAAAACGAAACATTGGTCGTTCTGTTGCCACCAATTATTACGAAAATCGTCCGTTTTTCGTAAATTTTCCAGCATGACCGATAAAAGAAATGAGGAGGAACCGCGAAAATCGGCCAATCACATTGCCCCACTAACGGTGTGAATATCGGCCGATTATTCTTTCAGACGAAACATCCGCCGATAAACGAACCGTCTATGGCCTGCATAAGACTAGGCTGTGCCCTTGATTATATGCAAATTGATATTAAACCCTGCCCCCTCAGAATGCAAAATTGTGCCTCCTGGCAAGTTTCAAAGCCTCAGTGGGCACCAGAATCTCTAGCATTGGTAGTTGAATGACAGGGGATAGGACTAAAGAAAGGACTTTAAGAGGGGGGCTGCTTTAACCCCTTCACGCCTAAGGGTAAAACAACAAATCTTAATGCCTAAGCACAATTTTACAACGTTGACATGTGTTAGTAAAGCCGCACATATCATCACAACTACTTTGTGGATTATACCGCGTTTTTTTCAGGACAAATTGGGCTTTCATTTGATGGTAAATGGTAATGGATATTTCCTGATTTTTTTTTTTATTATCAAAGGAAAACTGGCCCAGAATAGTAAAAAAAAATATTTTATTAAAATTTGTTACTACCATTATCTACCACCAAAGAACAACCCAAAACCCAGTTCTTGACGATCGTAGTGATACCATATATGTGGGTATTATTTGTTGTTTGTACCTGCAGTACAGCCCAGGAACAATACTCCACATTTTGTTTTTTCTTTTTTTTTTTCTTTTTTACCTAAAACACACTGACACTGACTGACACTGATACACAAATATGCGGCCCCATGGAAAAATGACAAACCTCTTGATCAGACTGAAAATAGAAAGCACAGCACTAGGAGCCAGTGTGGCTCTTACGTAGTGCACATGTGCTGATAGTAAATACTTTCACGTAGAGTGAGCACATGTGCTTTTTTTGGGCTCTTTCACACATGTGGCTGGGGTTCACAGGGGACGGGTTGGCAATAAAAACAGGTAGCTGAGCCATGGTTTTACCACCCCCTGAGTTTCCACATTACAGCCTGACACATGCACACATGTACACATGGCCATGATGCATTGCTTTACAGCATTTTTAACTCGGCTGCAGAGTTTGTCAGGCAACACCACCTATCAAACGCACCCATTAGGATTAATAAGGCCACACCACACCTGCGGCCACCTGCCAAAGTAAAACTTTCCTTCAGCAATAAAAAAAAAAACAAAAAACAGGCATCAGGAGGCAGCAGTAGCACCTCTTTAATGCCTGTCACCTACTGTTATACCGCCCTCGGAAAGGCAATCCACTGTAGATCTCTTTCAGGGGGCAGTAAGCTTATTGCTTGAATGAGCAGAATCGATGATTTGTGAGTGTTTTGAGGACTGGTGGTGTGTTTACACCAAGCTGTGCTGCTGTTGAAGTCAAGGTCAAGGGTCTGGCTGTGCTATCTGGCAAGGGTGCTTAGATCACAAAAAACATTTGCACAAAATTACAAATCCTTTGGTGAGCATAACAATTTCCATATGTGTATGTCCACTGTAAGCATAGCTGCTTGCCTGGAGTTCAAATTAGTAACAGTAAATCAATAACAAATAACATCTTACCATAAAATCAATATTGTTGTCTTCATTCCTGAAATGTTCCATGAGTTTCTCAAACCTCTGTTTTTCACCACAAACCTAGAATTGAAGCAGGAGGACCAGTAAGACATTAATAAAATACAAAACCTTCTCATATGATCAAGTGTAATGCCCTTTTTAATTTAACGTGTAACTAAAAGGAAAACATTTTTTTTCTAGGATAGGATAGAGTGGAGAACACCTGTCAGTTTTTATTGCTGTCTGTGCCCCCCATTAGGGACATCAGAACAGTAATAGAGCGGAAATGTTCCAATGGGAACACTAGTTTTGGTGACCCTGGCTACGCCCCAGGATTTCATCACGTTGGAAGGATTTCCTCTCACTTTTTTGGCTATGGGGCAGGAAGTGAAGAGAAATTTGCCTTATGGGACACATATGGCAAAAAAAACTGACAGGGGTTATAACCCTTCTTACTGTATCCAAAATGAAAAAAATAATATGTACATTTTAAGGGCCCTTTCACACAAAGGGTGTCAGGGATCGCCACGGTGCTAGTCCCGGCGCAGGCGCAGTGCGCCGCCCTGCACGGGGATGCGGGCACTAGGTCCAGGCCAGCCACAGCGATGAACTTGCGCATGCGCACTAGGAGACACGGGTGCGTGCCGGGCACCAATGACAGCGCAGGGCGCTCCAAGTCCATCCCCACCATCAGGGGCCCTGGTGAACAAGTGCTCCGGGACTTAGACTCCGCGCTCTGGAAGCACCTGAGCAGTTGATTGCTAGAGGTACCACCGGGCGGTCCCTTACAAAGGGTCTGCCTGTCCACTTGACTGGATGGTCCATTCACCCCTATACCGCCAACAGTTTAAGCAGCACTTTACAATATAAAGGGGGACAGTAGAATTACAATAGAGTTCAATACAGAAGGAATAGGAAAGTCCTGCTCATGGAGCTTACAATCTAAAGCATGGGTTTCAAACTTGTAGCCCTCCAGCTGTTGCGAAACTACAAGTCCCATCATGCCCCTGCCTTTGGGAGTCATGCTTGTAACTGTCAATCTTGCAATGCCTCATGGGACTTGTAGTTTGGCAACAGCTGGAGGGCCACCAGTTTGACACCCATGATCTAAAGGGAGGTGGAGGTGGTACAAAAGGTAATAGCTGTAGGATCTGATGGAGGTGACCCTAGTACAGTTTTTAGGTGGAGGTGGGGTAGGCTTCCCTGAATAAATGAGTTTTCGAGGATCGCCTAAAGGCAGACAGAGTAGGTACTGACCAGACCAGACATACTGGGGTACGAAGTTCCGGAGGATGGGAGAGGTTCTGAAGAAGTACTGGAGGTGAGCATGGGAGAGGTAACAAGCGAGCTAGAGAGCAAGATGTCCTTGGAAGAGCAGAGAGGATGATTGGGGCAATATCTGCAGGTGAGGTTGGTGATGTAGCTGGGGGCAGTGTTGTGGATGGTGTTGTACATTGTGGTTAGTATTTTAAATTTTATACATTGGGCTAGTGGAAGCTAGTGAAAGGATTGGCAGAGAGGGACAGCAGTCACAGATCTGTTAGTAAGGTGTATAAATCTAGTAGCAGCATTCATAATAGACTGAAGCACGGATAGCCTGTGTAAAGGTAGGCCAGTGAGGAAGGAGTTTCAGTAGTCAAGGAGGGATAAATTAGTTGTTTTGTGGTGTCGTTAGTCAGGAAAGGGTGCATTCTGGAAATGTTGTGAGGGCGGCATGATTTAGCCAGTGATTGGATGTGGGGTCCGAAGGACAGGTCAAAAGCCAAGGATTACATCTAGCACCCTGGCATAGGCGGAGGGACAAATGCTTGTGCTGTTGATCTCAAAAGTAAAGTCATAAGAGGGGGGGATTGGGGAGGAGCAAATTTACAAGCTCAGTTTTAGAAAGATTGGGTTTGAGGAAGTGGTGTGACATCCATACTAATATGTCGCTCAGTAAATTTGTGATACATGAGGGAATAAAGGGGGTGAGCTTGGGATTAGAGATAGATCTTGGTGTCGCAGGCATAGAGGTGGTATTGGAAGCTGACAGAAAGAGGAAAAGGAGCAGAGGAGATGGTGTTGTCTGTGGAGCTGAAAGCCAGATGAGATAGGTAAGAGGGGAACCACTAAAGAGCAGAGTAATGGAGGCCAAGGGAGTGGAGTTTTTTGAGAAGGAGTAAGTGGTCAACTGTGTCAAAGGCAATGGAAAGATCTAAGTATGAGTATAGAGTAATGGCCATTGGTTTTAATAGTTAGTAGGTAATTAGCGAGTTTTAGTAGAGCAAATTCAGTGGAATATTGTGGCAGAAGCCAGAGTGTAGGGCATAGAGAAGGTTGACGTCAGTGAAGTAACAACTCATAGGTTGTGGACAAGGCATTCAAGACGCTTGGAGGCAAACAGGTGCAGGGAGACAGGTTAAATTATTCAAACAGGTGGGTCAACTGAGATTTTTTTTAAGCATGGGGGTAACCCAGTGCATGTTTTTGCAGGAACGGAAAGGTGCTAGCGGAGGATGGAGAAGTTGAAGATGTGGGTTAGAGTTTAGTAGTAATTGTAAAGGGACAGGTAGGCTTCGGAAAGGAGTTTGGCAACTTCCTTGGTGGTAACAGGGTCAAGGAGGAAAATATTGAGTGTGGTGTTGGACCTGGTATGTTGGTTGGAGGAGAAAGCTGGACACTGGAGATCACATCACAAATTGTGTAAATCTTGTTTTGAAATGACTGGCAATCTTCTGGCAGTAAGTTAGTGGGTGGAGGCAGTAGGGGTGAAGTAGGAAGGGTGAAGGAATTAAGGGTAGAAAAGAGTTGACAAGGATTGGATAAGAGGGTTATGACGAGAGTGATGTAGTAGGTTTGTTTAGCAGTGTGGAGTTGTACTTGAGAAGGGCAATTTACTGAGGTTGAAGTCTTGTAGAGATTGAGCTTTATGCCGCAGCATGGCTGCATCTCTAGAGACTTCTGTTGTCATCTGTTTGCCAGGGTTGTAGCAGGTAAAGCCTGGTTCTGTGTGTGGGGAGGAGCAAGTGTGTGCAAGGAGGATGATAGTAAATTGTAGACAAAAGTGGTCAGGTCTGGGCAGGACAAGTGTGTGATTTTGTCATAAAAGCAGACAGTAGCAGAACGAAGAAGTGAAGGGTTGAGGTGGCGAAGGTTTCTATGGTTAACTGTTTGCTGGTTGGAGACAAGGGAGGTAGGAGACAGGGAGAGTGTGAAACTGATAAGGATGTGATGGATGAGAGGAAAAGCAGTGTTGGAGAGGTTGTAGGAAGCGCAGAGGTGACAGAATACAGGACCGAGAGTGTTGCTATTGGAGTGAGTGGTGGTTTGTTTCCAAAAGAGGTTAGGCTGAGTAGTTGAAAATCGGCTGAGATGTTAACAATGACTAGATTGTTAAAGTCACCACAAATGATGGCAGAGAGAAATTACCATTTCTTAAAATTCCCTATAACATAAAAAAATGTTAAATCCGTTTAAATACAGCTCTATCTTTTTAATACTGGAATGATGAAAGAGCTGCCTTTATTTTCCTAAATTTAATAAGCTAACACAATGAAAAGTTCCCCAACAGATGAGAGATAGAGGCGAATTTGAGCATAATCTGGGAAGGATCTTGTGACGGTCTCTGCCATGTGGTTTTACAGTCGGACAATTCTGGGGTACAATGGAGGCGACCATATTATAGAACAAATCTGTACCTCTATTAAATCATATTATATTCTCTTACTAAATTATTAGTCTAGAATTATAAATGACTACAAAATAAAGTCTCTGTCTTGTCTCCTGAAACAGCAATCTGCACAATTTCTAATAAACTTAACAAAAGGGAAAAAAATGACACTAGCACAAGAATGCTTTATTCTAACAAAGCCACCTTCCAGTGAGAGCCTCTATATTTAGCATGGATGACACTATGACAACTCTTAACCGCAAAACAATAAATCCCCTGTGTATTTTAGGGTGGTTGCCATGGTGATACAAGTTATTTCATGCAAATAATGCTAATTAAAATATAAATGATACAGTCCGTTGAAGGTCTGTATTCTGCCTGCTTGTCTAGAGTCATCTGTGTATTCTTCATAAAAAAACTGCTACAAAATAGTTTTTTTTCTGAACTTGAGTAATATGACACATTTATTTTGTAATATTCAAATAAAAGGTTACATTTTATTGTCTATAAAATCAATGATATATTTGGTTTAATTAAAAGAACAAAAAGAGCTAAAGTTGGATAACCCATGGCAGCCAATCAAAAATCAACTTCTGGTAGCTTGTAGTAGACATTGAATTAAATGGCAGTTTCTGATTGGTTGATACTAATGATCAAATCTAAAATTTAGCTATAATATCATAATACAGGGGATTATATTTTACATTTGCTTTTAAATGCCATGTCTTTGCATATTTTTTAGTTGTTTTAGAAAAGCTTATACAAATGTCAAGAAAAAGCCAACATTTTTATTTTTGGATTTTTTTTTTTAGCAAGATGGGTAAACATAATTTTACCCATCTTACCAAAAGGAAAGTTTAAAATACAAAAGTTTTTATTAACCACTTGCCCACCAGAGGATTTACCCCCCTTCCTGACCAGGCCATTTTTTGCATTACGGAGGTGCGTTACTTTAACTGACAATTGCGTGGTCATGCAACGCTGCACCCAAATTAAATTTGTTTGGGTTTTTTTTTCCCACGAATTGAGCTTTCTTTCAGTGGTATTCGATCATCTGTGCGTTTTTAATTTTTTACGCTATAAAAAAAAAAAAATTCTGACAATTTTGAGAACAAAAACAATATTTTTGAAGTTTTTCTATTAAACAAGTCCAGTAAAAAATTAAAAAAAAAATCAAATTTCGTCAAGAATTTAGGCCAAATTGTATTCTGCTCTATGTCTTTGCTAAAAAAAAAATCCCAATACATGTAAATTAATTGGACTTTACCTGAAAGTTCTAGTGTTTACAAATGGCGGTATATATACTGGGATTTTTTATTTTTTACTAGTAATGGCAGTGATCAGTGACTTATGGCGGGACTGCAGCAGGCATTCTGACACTGCCCCCCAACTGACTTGGTGTCACTGACATCCCCAGTGACACCAATACAGTGATCAGTGCTAATAAAAAACACTGACACTGTACTAATGGCACTGGGCAGGAAGGGATTAACATGTGGGACAATCAAAGGGTTAACTCTGTGTTGTTTTACATCGTGTCCTGTGTTAGTGCTTCACTGTAAGCACTGTAATCCCCCCATCAGAGATCCTCGGCAATCACCGGGCACCGGCAAGTAATCACCGGCCGGGACCTGGTGATTGACAACCGCGGCCGCAAATGGCAGGGCGTGTAGGGCGTGCATGCCCCCTATCCAGAAATGCAAAATCAAGTATATATATATATATATATATATATGTGTGATTTTGCGCACCTGTGCACATATCATGGTCATGTGATCACTGAGTTCTCACATTTAGAGCTGGCGGGAGAGAGATCCACCTAGGTACAGTAAGTATAACTGTGGAAAAAAAAAATCACTCTTCTCTTTTAACCTGTTACTAAACCCAGGACCCTGCATTCACTATATCTGGTCTCCCTGGACCCTGCATTCACTATGTCTAGTCTCCCTGGACCCTGCATTCACTATATCTAGTCTCCCACAGTACACAGAACATGGAAATGCAATTATTTTAGTAAACATAAACTAATAAATACCTTTTCTCATCAGCAGTTAGAGCAGTCTTGTGACTTCTATTAGTATCCAGCAGAGCACTGGTTAAAGCTTGTAGGAGTTTTCATTCTCCCCTATGAGGATTTAGGACCCCTGACCCTCTGGCTGGACAGCATAATTGGCCCTATGCTGATCACATATACTCTCCCAAGAAAAAAAAAATCTCTAGCAATACTGTACACACCAAACTGAGCATGTGCAGAGTGACTCCAAGCCTCTGTTCTATCAGGAGATATATTGGAGACAATAGAAGAAGGGGAGGATCAGAGAAGACAGGATCAAACATCCTTTTTACACAATGCACAGGATTAACCCCTTAAGTTCCACAGTGAGTATAACCAGCATGATTTTCTGCATATACAGGCTGATTTTACTGTTGTGGGTTTAGTAACACTTTAAAATGAAAAATAGCCCAATATTAATTCCTGTAATAACATCCATTAACTTCAATTGTGATCTGTATACTATCCCTTTTTTCCCATATGCTTTTTTTAGAGCAGAATTTCTCAACCAGGGATTTGTGGAACTCTAGGGTTCCTCCAGAGGAGGTTAGGGGTTCCTTAAGCAAAAAGCAGTTTTTGCCTCTCAGATAAGAAACCACTGACACCATTGATCTTTTTAGTTGTCTGTAAGAGTGAAATTCTTCCCAGTGACCACACATGCAGGGAGCATTCTTCACATTAACCATCATGCTAATGTACCATATGCCGTTCATATAGTAATTAGTAGCAGAGGTTCCCTGAGATTTGAAAAGTTATTTCAACTGTTCAAGGGTTCCTTGAGGGGTTCAGGGGTTCTTTCATTTTAAAAAGGCTGAAAAAGGCTGATTTAGAGTGCAATCTCTATACCTTTATATACAAGCCAAGCTGTTCAGCAAAATTGTTACAGGGTTGGAATAAACCATATAACACAGCAGGAAGATGGGGGGTGAGGGGGTCTGCAATGGAACAATGAAACATTGATGGGATTCTCCTTGACTGTTCTACTTTATAGAATAAAAAAAGGTTTTGTCTATATATACACTGTAAGGCTAGAGTGTGGCACCAAAGGGTGCATACCACACATCTGCATGGTTACTTTGCTTTCCATCAACATCTCAATACAGAAATCTGCTTCACACGGGACACTTGGAATGCATTCAGTGGAGTAACCTGTATAAAAAAATCTTTTATCAAGTTTTCATCATTCAGCAGTAAAGATTATTTCATTTGTTGCCAACATTTTTATAACTAAGCCCCCTTAGGGAATAAAGACTCAGCTTGTTATCTCTTGTATAGCTGCTGAACAATGTCACAGTTGCTATGCAAATTAAGAAAAACACTTTTTTTGTATTAAGAAAAACACAGCTGTATTAATCCATGCAGCAGGATGTGGTAGTGATTTAGGTGTCTTTCGGGGAATCATACTTGTTCAGTTGATATATAGTTTAATCCTGGAAATGCTTTTTCTTAATATCAAAATGTGTTATTTTCTACTGCAACAATTGAGTACTGTCCGTGATACTTTTTTGTATTTTGTACTGCTTGGACCTTGAAGAAGGGGACACTCCCCAAAAGCTTGTCCTCAAAATTGTATGTTAGTGCAAATAAAAAAAGTATCACGGACAGTACTCAATTGTTTCTGTTGCAAATGCACTAATACGGCTACAATCACCTCAAGCACAATGGAAGGTATTATTTTCTACTTTTACTCTTTCTAATCCTTGTAGTATATGCTATAGCAATGGGTTTTACAAAAATGATGTCAATGGCAACACTTAAAAGAAAGTTTAGGAATGGGGTCACCTGCTTTTTACTTTTCAGAAAAAGTCATAGTAGAGATCTTGGCCCTGCCCCTTCACCCTATTTGGTCCTATTAAAGTGTAAGGCTCCTTTTTATATGTGTGATTCGATCAGGTCCACCAGTCAGTTTTTCAGGCAGACCTGATTGTATGGTCCATGTATTCCTCTGCACCGACATAAGTCTGCTTACACCCACCAACCTCAAATCCGATCCTGCAAAAAAAAGGAAGGGGAACCGTTCCCCTTCGTCTAGGTGGATTGGATCGGAGAGCAGTCAAGTGTAAATGGACAGCTGGTCTGCTTACACCCAACCACCCAAAGAGAAGAGTGGGCTAGCTATGTCCATGTCTGCGCTCGCTCAGCTCTGCTCAACAGGGGAATCATTATTATTATAATACAGGATTTATATAGCGCCAACAGATTGCTCACAATATAATGGGAGACAATACAGCAACAATACAGTTCAATACAAGAGGGTTAGGAGGGCCCTGCTCCTTGGAGCTTACAATCTAGGAGACAGTTCCCTTGCTGAGCAAAGTGGATTCTGCCCTTTGAAAGGGCTTAATAACCATGGCAGAATCACCAAGTCAGAACAACAGTTCAAACATTTTGCCATTAAAAACTTTAGGGATACATAAAGAGATGCAGAAAATAGGAGGCTGAAGGCTGATTGACCTTGCTTGCATCCACCCGAAAGCAAAAAATATGTTTTGGATGAACAAAAATAGACTTCCCTTTAGATATATAACAAAAATCAGCGGAGATATAATCACAAGATGCAAATATCCAAATGGTGTTTCTAGTTTAGGGAGAAAACTATTCAGTCTCAGGCCATTAACGAGGACACGTGGTCACTCAATGAAGTTGGATGAGCAGCAGTTTAAGCTCAAACTGCATATGGGTTCTTTACTGTTAGATCTGGAACTCCCTTCCACAGTTGGTGGTGTCAGCAAAAGGTGTTGACAATTTAAAAATGAGCATCTTTGCAAACACAATATACAGGGATATGGGAAGTGGCAGGGACAAAAATGTTCACACCTACACAGGTTGAATTGGATGGACAGGATATAGAGAGAAATCTTCTCAACAAGAACACAGATCGCAATAAAAAGCTGACAGTGGCTTTAGAGTTTTTCTGCTCTATTCATAAATAAAATGTTTAGGCATTAAGTATTTTACGCCTAAAGATTTCTTGTTTAGTAAAATATTTATAGTTTGAATATGTATTTATTCAGTTTCTCAGTATCGTAGTGACAGGCATATTGATGGGCATTAAACAGTAACAAGGTATAGAAGGATGGGGAGAAAGAAGAGGGAAAAACCAGGAAAGAAGGGAGCAAATAAGGTGAAGAGAAGGGGAAGAGATTGGTGGGTAGGTGAGAAAAGATGTATAATGCATTCAGATCATCCACACCTGAGCGCAGAGGGAACACAAGTTCCCACTCTGGGATTTTTTTTTTTGGGGTGCTTGTCAAACATTAACGTGCGTCGCAGCTAAGACTGCCCATTCACTGGAGTGGGCTGCCCTACGCACAACATATGCCCCAAAGAAGCTCCAGTACCTCTTCGGTCATGGAGCGTCAGGCATTTTTTCAGTGGGCATTTTGTCACATATTTTGTTGCATCTGCTATCTGCGCTTGGGGTGCCATTAACGGTTAATGGCACAGCAAGCACAACCTGCAATTGCAGCGTGTTTGCACCATGTTTCCAAACATGGTGTGATTGCAGCCTCGTGGCTGGTGAGAGGGTCCAGCAAGGTGTTGTACATAGCTTGCTAAAAACTTTACAGCACCCTTCCTCAGTACTCCTCTCAAGAGCTGTCAACCCTGATGTAAATACTGGGCTGGCTATTGGGAAGAGCTATACAAATATCAAAATTCCATGTTTTTGTCATTTATGTGCCATTGATAGCCACTGCGTGGGCGCACCTTTTGCTCTGTTGGTGTTAGAGCACTGTTTTTTTAATTCTTTTTATGTTCAATTGACAGCCCCTACGTGGCGTGTTTTGTTGCTCCTGTCTTAAACTGTTTATAAATTAATAAAAAACATTGAAATACAAACATCAAACTTCCTTCATGGATGGCAATCTGGAGAATTGGCCGTTCCTAGGCGAGGGGGACATAAGCATTCAGAATACCCTATGTAATGCCCACATGTGATGCTGAGTCTCCTGGATTGAAAGAACTGAAATCCAATGAATGGAAATGGCAAAGAAGGAAGGAGCTAAATGATGCTGGATGTCCTCCAGTCAATATCTGACATGATAAAGCTTCTAAAGCATACTGTAAGAAGCTCAAAGTGTGCAGTGAAAGCAAAGTAAGCAAACTCAGTACAGGAGAGGAGACTGTACACTCTGTACAAGACGGATGGGAAAACTGGAGTTCAGCTTTAGGAAGAGTAAAATGTACAAACTCAGTGCAATCAGACTTTATCCTTCATGGATCAGAATGGAGCCAACATCTGATTGGCCATTTTGGGGAACTGCACTTTAGCTTGGCTCAGTTTCATAAATAATAAAAAAAGAGATCATAATAGTTGATATGACACATAACATTCCCATTATCAATCCAAAATGGATTATTATACATACAGGAGACAGGTGCACTTTAAGCCTTGAATCCCAGCACTTGGCTTCAGCTCATTTCCTCGGCTTGTTCTGTCCCTAAAAACTGATAAATGTTGCATGAACCGAATGGCAACCAGCTCCCCCTTCTAAACATCTGAACGATATTTAGAACAAAGAAATCTTCAAAGCGCGGAGCACCAGCATCTGAGGCCCATAAATAATTATCAATTACTTCTATCACAAAGCTTTAATTTCACTGCGTCTATTTATGGGGAGGGATGGGACTAAATCAAAACCAGCTCTGTTCAGCAAAGAAAGAAAACAAACACAGACACTGGGCCTCCTCCCCACATCAAATGACATGCAAGAGACTTTCTTTATTTTACCTCCTTGAAGTTATCGAACGCTGATAAAATGATTTCGTGTCCTCCGCGGACAAGGCAGACGGCTGCTAGCAGTTCTAATACAAGTGCTTTTGTTCTGTAAAGAAAAAAAAACAAAAAACAACAGATATTTCACTAATCAATGGGATCAATGTAATAAGCGGGGGTGTAACTGGATTGCCTGCTGAAAAGGTGACATTTTTATTTCCCTTTATATGAATTAGGCAATTAGTCTCCTTATGAAGGTTAGAGGTTTATCTCATACAAACAGTATACAAACGCTGGAGGTGTAAGGTGACTTCAATAAAAGAATAATCCAACTGGGTGCGTCAGGAAGATTGCAAGC